GTAGAAAAATAGCTTGCAATTATAGTAGCCAGTTACGTTGAATGACAAATGTAAAAACTACAGGGCAATCTGAAGATAGAATAAATAGCTGGATAGTTGAATACTCAAAAACTGCTGAGCCAATGCATGAAAATCTGAGGCTGTAATCCTAGACAGATCTTCCTGGAAGTAAATCTAGTCCATATTAACACTACAACCCTATTCATATCTATTCAAATTTAATTTCAGTGAGACCTATTCCCAGTAAAAGATGACTATACACAGTCTCTATCTTTTATCCATTATATCAGCAGCTTTGGGATTTTAATCTTTTCAGTATGATAGAGTGAAAAGTACAGGAATTAAACTACAGGAATTAAAACTGGAAAAGATGAGATGTGGCCATTTAAAAGCAAGGGTGAAAGGACAACATGGTAGGCCCTGCATGAGAAAGAATGTAACGTACATGAGCATAAAATGCAGGCATCTTTAGTTTACCTAAATACATAACATTTCAAACAATTGCTTGGTGAAGCTTTTAAAAAAGAACATATATGTATTTTTCCAATATCATGGTGAGTACAGCAGTGATTCTGAAATTTTAGTCCTTCAAGTGTTTTGGACTTCAGATCCAACAAACTCTGACCACTGTTCAGGGTATGATGGTGATGTTGATTTATTTCAGTTTTGTTCTGTTTTAATCAGTAATAAGCTGCCTTTTTATACTGGGAGACAGATGGGACATAGAGGATACAACTTAAATGAGCCTGTGAAGCCCATTAGATAGTGTTAGGCATTTTTTTCATGCTGAGAAAGACTATCAAATTGTGGCAAGTTGGCCTGCACAAACAGACACAAAATTGTGACAACACATTCACTAACTGAAAGTTATACTAATGTTACCTTGTGCACCAGTTGCGCCTGTAGCTTGGGAAGTCAGACTTGACCATGGTGGTCCATGCTCTTGTTACATCTCGCATAGACTACTGCAACACACTCTATGTAGGGTTGCCTTCAAATAGTCCAGCAGTCAGATTTCTAATGGGAGCAGGGTACAGGGAGCATACAACTCCCCTGTTGCATCAGCTCCACTGGCTTCTGATTTGCTAATGAGCCCAATTTAAAGTGCTCGTCTTAGTCTATAAAGCTCTAAATGGTTCCAGTCCAACTTATCTGTCCGAACGTATCTCCTTGTATGGGCCTACTAGAACTTTAAGATCATCTGGGGAGGCTCTGCTCTAGGCCCTACTCTCTTTGCAAGCACGATTGGTGGGGATGAGAGACACAGCCTTCTTAGTGGTGGCCCCTTGGCTGTGGAACTCCCTCCCCAGTGACATCAGGCAGGCCTCATCCCTTTTAATTTTTAGAAAAAAAGTTAAAGAGATAGCTTTGCACACAAGCATTTGAAGAATAAGTAACTACGGGTTTTAACACTGTTTGGATATGGATTATTTACTTATTTATTTATTTAGAGAATTTGTATCTCATCCTTCTCAACTCCCGAAGGGGGATTTAGGACAAAGCTCTTGAACAAATGGAACTATGCACTTTATATGTTTTAATCTGTGTGTTGTTTTAATGGTCTGACTGACTAATTATTAACCGTTTTAATGGAGGGGATATGCTATTGTTTTTACTGTTGATTTTACCGGTATTGAATTGTACCGGAGTTGTAAGCCACCTTGAGTCCCCTGAGGGGGAGAAAGGCAGTATATAAATATATTAATACTTTTGTACTAGCTGTTTTCAGAACTAGCATGAAGGATGCTCCTAAAGTATATTTTAAAGTCTGTACTAGCATAAGGTCTTTTGTTTATTTTCACTTATAAACTATAACCATGAGCAAGTATTTTAAAAAACAAAATACAAACTTTAACTCTGCCACGCATTTCATCTGCTATTATGTTAAAGATGTCATATAAACCTAGAATGTCTGGCAGAAAAGCACAACATTTCAATAATTTTATGATCCCATTCTCTACAATCAACATACAATCTATCTTGAGAGAAAAAGCAGTCCTCCAAATTGTTTTTGGAAAGACTCGACAGGGTTTGGCACCAATGCTTTCAAGCTGAATGATTTCATTTTTATAAGATTTGCACAGAAAACTGCTTCCTGATGTTTGTTTTCAAAGTAAGATATTGCATGCAAAAATTGTATATATGCCTATGTGAGTTCGTGCATGACCTGCCTCACAAGCTGCACAAGTATAATATGTTCTGGAAGTGGGGATTTAATTGGAAATGCTGGAAAGTATCCAAGACTAGACTGCAGTTGGTGGGACAGTGGGATTCCATGGAAATGAGAAGCAATTCTCCTTCTACTTCACCCCCATTGAATATATTTAAAAGCAGCTCAATTTTGAACCAGTTTCTAGGAGACACAAAAAGATGCAGAGGTAGGAAGAAGTTCTGTTACACTAATGCTGTAGTGCTAGCGTGATGCTGGACTGAGGCCCTTTGCTTCCCCATCTAATATATTATTCTGCCATTTTGAGCAGTGGAGGGAGCATATAGCTCTTGTGACTGGTAGTCTCTTCTTAAAAATGAATACTTTATAAACAATTAAGATTGCTATCAGTACATTATGTGGTAGTAAAAATCCATCTCCCCTAATCAATTTGATTGGATGATCCCAAGTTCCAATGTTAGAGAGACAATGCATCTGTTAATTTATTTCCTGCATTTGAGGCATCTCATATAGATCTCATTCTATAAAAATACACATTTTTGTGTAGGAAATAGTAATAACTGTACATACTGTTTTCCGAGCAAACAAATGCTATTTTTATGCACATATATTATTTCCTGCTGCTGAACACTGAACATTCAGAAGTCCTTTTGCAATAAATATATTGAATCAAATTTATATAAGGCAAGGAATTAAGTACACCATTTCTTGAAATGATATGATTTGAATAGTCACTACATTATTCTGCTATGCAGAATAACCAGCTTGACTTAAATACTTCATCCCACTATTTACTACAGCTGCAATTTTTCCTAAACTCAGACATTTATCCCATATTTGAAAATCTTATAGAACGCTGCCGTTGCTCATCTGCAAGGACTTGAAGTTGCTTCCAATAATGTGAAATGCCAAAGGCCACTGCAAATTGTAGAATATACTTATCAAAAATGTCTGAAAACCATTGTTGTGCACTGTAGTAATATTTTATGCTCTTCTCTGATCTGGAATTGATCCATTTGGAAAGAGTTGGCTGCTAAATAAAAGAAGGCAAGAACTTTCAAGGAGTTGGAATGTAGTTTGCCCCTCTGCATTATCCAGATAATGTATAAGAGCCCTTAGAAGATTGTATTGTTTGCTAGTAGGAGTATGAAAAAAAAAACTATTTGCCTTTATACATTAAAAACTGTTTTTGTTTCACTATGGTTAGTGCCAGTGAAAGCAACAGATTCCCCATGTATAAAAATTTACTCTGTACAAATGTGTCTGGAAGAGATCTAAATATAATAAGAGACCTGAATTATTATTTTATGTATATTTTGGTTTATACAAATATTTTTTAAAAAAGACAGATATTGAGCTCATAGTCCGTTTAGGTTTTCCCCTCCATTAAATTATATTTGTGACAAAAGTAATGTCGTCTTTATTAGCAAGCAGGTATTTTGGAAAGAAAGTATATTCAATTCCTATAACATGTATTCTTTATATCATATTTAAGAATTAAGATAATTTAAATTATCCCTTTGTAGATGCTATCTAGTCGAAATAGAAATGTTTATGCTATTTTCATTACCCTTTCTATCATCCTGGCTTGTTGAAAGCCTGTAAGACCAAGTTCTGGGCATCTAAAATCTAAATAGCGATATAAAAGATAATAGGAATTTGGAATCACAGACTAATATATCCTGATAGATATAAATAAATAACAATCTCTGTGTTTTAAAATACATCTTGTTCAATATCTCTATTGGAGGACATTTCAAAGAATGTTATTTTTGTTTTTTTTTTCTTTTCAATAATTTCTGTCATAAATATCAATACCTGTGTTTACCACTATCCCTCTCCCTGCTACACACAACGGTATGGAAATTTACATTTCTACTTGCTGCACCTAAGCTGTGTAATTTTAAAGAAACACAGTATTTTGAAGCCATATTCAAAATCCACAGAATTTAGGGCTGCTATTAAAATACTATCAGTAGACATCTGTCCTTAAAAAGTGTCTCCCTTGTAAGTTCGACTGAGCATTAATGCAACCACAACATAACACTGTGAATCATAGCTGTGGGTGCTATGAATCTTGTAGCAATTCACATAATGGAAAATACATAGCAGGCACATGAGAGATAATCAAAGAGTGATGTAATCCCAAAGTCAAAATGTGGTAAAAAAAAGTTTAAAAGAACCTTTTTCTATTGCTACAAAGCAAACTTACTTGTGAAAAATTATGTGCTACTGATGATTAAGTGAACAGGTGGCAGCAAACCACTATCACAGAACAGTGTTTTCAAATGTGTCTTTCTTTGTAATTCAGTTTTCCATATGTGGTCCCCAGAGAAACAGACTTTTCACCTCGAGCCAGTAAAAATTCAATAACTCATATTTTTAGACCCATCCAAGGCTACTTGAAGCCAATTCTAAATTCATTTTCGTGACTTAAAGTGCTTACATTTTTGCTATCTAGGAAGTTTTATGTATATTTTTCTATTGGCCAGTTAAGTATACTTATGTAGCATTTTATCAAAAATAATTCTAAAACATTGTCTAGTTGCAATGCAGCCCTGATTGGGGGGGGGGGGCAGAATCCCCCACATAACTGAAAGATACTTTTCATTGCTTGTTTTTTTGTGACAACTGTCATATCAATGGCATGGTTTTCTTCCAATTTGTTAGAATACATACATTAAAAACATACTCAAGGAAAGTAACTGTTACCTCCAGGTTCTCTTTCACATTTGTATTACAATTCACACCTATACATGTATTATAGATTGTCACAAAGATTTCCAGCAGCTAGAAATGACCATATAAAAAGGAAACAAGGGGAAAATACCTGGGGAGATGATGGGCCAAAAGCCACATTGATTACAGATTCTGTGTGTCCTGTCAATTTATGGGAATAGGTGCTTGAATGCTTCTCATATATGTAAGCCTGAAAAACAATACATATTTAAAGATTATTGATTTACTAAATACCCATTGATTTAATGAGTCCACTCAAGTAGACACTAATTACTGAATACAAGATAGAAACTCTACCCATAGCCATCTTACATACTACAATATTCCAGCTAAAATTTGTAATTTCTAAAAAGAGGTCAATATAGAAATGGAAACAACAATCATATTTGGGGGTTTGAGAGAATACATTATTTAGCTACTGACAATTTCTATGACCTGCCACACTGTTGCAGCCTGTGCAGAAATTACTTATTAAAGTTTTTTTTTAGTGTCATGATCTTTGCCTTGTCAACGGCAAGGAAAATTAACTACAGCAACTCCAAGGTAGATGTAGTCCTTCGCCTTTTGTAGGGGACCAGATATAGTATTCATCCTTGAATTCCACTGACAAATCCTCAAAGATACCACTTCCAGTTCCACCACTGTGGAATAATTGCCAGCAGCATAGTACATCATGTGAGGTTAGTAGGAGGTATTCTTCATTATTCCTATCATCTGCACCACTGGTTCTTAACTTTTGATTTACCATGCATCCTTTTAAATATATTTTATTGTTGCAGAGCATCAAATCTCAATTTAAGATTTTAAATCTGAGCAGTCCTGGATCTGGTAAGTTCTTTCTGAATCCAGGGTTATTGTCAACACAGCCAGAGAGAGTAGATACTTTGCTAAAGTAGTTTTCATCTTACCTTCTCCATGCCACTACTGCCACTCCTAACCAGCCATATAGATCCATACAAGCTCCTGGCCACTGTGGGTGCCTCTTTGACATCACAATGGGGTACCCACATGACCAGCATGAAGAAGGAGGGGTAATTCACTTTTTCGTGCTCACATTGGCACCCTGTTCTGATGCTGTCAGAGACATCTTCAAAACCAGGAAAATGGAGGATTATCTGGTCACATGGGCACCTCTACTGATGTCATAATAGGGCACTTCTCCTCATTCATGTTGGTTGTGCCCCATTCTGATATCAGCAAAGGTTGCACAGAGCTCTGTGGCTGGCTGGAAACAGCAGCTGAAGTGACATGGTCAATATCCACCCCCTTTCCTTGCATTGATGAGCACAGGGAAAGGGTGATGATGCTGGTGTTCCATTTAGAAAGCAGATTAGGCCAAACTGGACCCATTCTTGCTGACCAGAATGCCTCAAAGGGATGGGATATGCCAGAGTTTTCAGTAAAATAAATATGATGAATTGTTCTTCTTTTTTATGGTGGAGAAATCTGACACACCTTTTCCCAATGCAATTTCTATCTCTGGTACCAAAGGATTAAAACCCAGGAACGTATCTACTTTGTTAACTGAACTACACCTGTTGTTTTAATTCAAAACAATTTTTACATACTGGGATCAGAGTAACTGTTCATTAACTGGTTTTCATAGGTCAATCTAAGTATTTGTTCCACTCAATTCTAACTTCATTCTTATCCTCTCAAGTGTGTTCCAATAAACTATTAAGAAATCACATTAGATTGAATTAATACTTCCAACACAAGCATGGCTGAATTATCACCACTATCTGCCAACATACTGTATGATCACCAAATGGTGTTATGATTTATATAAAATATTAATTATGATAAAAAGTGTTGAGCTGCCCTATTATTTATTTATTTATTTCAGTTACTTCTACCCTGCCCTTCTCACCCCGGAGGGGACTTACAAAGGCACAATTCGATGCCAGCATCAACATAACAGTATTTATTTTATTTATTTACTTACTTTATTTATAGACCGCTGTTCTCAGCCCGAGGGCGACTCACAGCGGTGTACAACATGAAAGCAACAATATTCAAAGCACGATAAAAACAATTCACAACATTATACAAAAAAAAGTAGCATCATTTCTAGAATAAAAACGATATAGCAGCAATTAAAACAATTAACAATCAGTTTCTGCATTACAACAATAAAACCAATAAAACCAATAAAACCGATTACACCTACTTAACGCTCAGCGTTCGCCATCTCATAGTCCAAATTCCAATTCCACTTTGTCAATCCTGTTAGTCCTAGTCGTCTGATTGTCCTTATCTAGTTGTCAGATTGCCCGAAGGCCTGGTCTCACAACCACATTTTTAATTTCCTCCTGAAGGAGAGGAGGGATGTTGATGACCTAATTTCCCCCGGGAGTGAGTTCCACAGGTGAGGGGCCACCACTGAGAAGGCCCTGCTCCTCATCCCCACCAACCTCACTTGTGATAGCGGTGGGGTCGAGAGCAGGGCCTCCCCAGATGATCTCAAATTCCGGGGTGGGATGTAGAGGGAGATGCGTTCGGACAGATCAATTTGTCTAATACATAACTATCAGTTACTTTCTTATCATTACTTACATTCAAAATCATTTAATTTAACAAGATCTCATAACCATGGATGGGGTCTCCAGAAACAAGAGACAAACCCATAAATAACTATTTATTATTTCTTCTCATATAGTCTTGGGATTAAATTTCCCAGAACTCTCCAAAGTCACTGATTTAAAATTAAGATAGCAAGACCACTGCTGGGAAGCATGTTAACTGTTGAACTCAGTTCCAGAGTTTTATATAAATAGAAATTGTGCTAGGCTCTTTTTAGGAATAACGTTTCTAACTCATTTTTACGAGTATGGAACAGGAGGACAAGCATCTTCAACTCCTGTATATAATAACATTGCAGAGTATCTCTTTCTGCACCAAACCCACAATATGGTTTCAATTTTGTTTTTAAGAAATGCTGCCAACAAATATTCTTTCTTGTTGAACTCTTGTGAATTATAAAAGGCAGTTTATCATTCTAATATTATTGTCACTTTTGAGTTTTTATTCATTATGTATTTCTTTATAATAAGAAGTCAAAGTCCTTATGTTTTATAAATGGATTTCCTGGTGTCCCAAATAATATCACTGTAGTGAAGTGGTCATTTTTTTTCTAGATTCAAATATTTGGCACCAAAAACTGTAGCAACAATGGCCAACATTTCATGGGGGGACAGAAGAGCAGACCTCTCTACATTCTGTCATAAACAGGACACTGTCAGCCCTCCACATTTGCTGGGGTTAGGGGCATAAGACTCCTTCAAAAGTGAAAAAACTGCAAAGAACACTACTCTAGAAATCTCTAGGTTTTCTAGAATGACTCTATGGTCAACAATTTGATCACAGAAACTCACTGAAGACCCAGAGATGTCCAGAGAGAACTTTTTAATCAATTTTGCAAAAGTCAAACCCACAAATGTGAAGGACTGACTATACAACTACCAGTGGCTTCAGTAAATTCAACACTGATTAAAGGGTATATCCAACCAGTATAGTCTGGCAAATAATAATATGCAAAGCTGAAAAGGATGCTAGAAAATAGATAGCTGGTCTTGCTTTTAAGGGGTATCTCCTTATTCATATGGTTCCACCACTCCACCTTTTAAACTGCTACACTGAGAGAAAAGAACATAGCACCTGGCCAAGATCAAATTCATATTTATATATCTTATACATTTTGGCTAGGCATGGTTTCCTCACAGGGTAGTCCTTTTCCTCCCCATACTTCACATCCTGGTAATTATTTCCCAGGAACTAACATAGTGTAGTTATGATGAAACATTTAGAAGTCACCACAATGGTACAGTTTTGTTTTGTTGGCATTGCAGACTTTTTAGTGAGTTTTGGAGGCATAAATCCAACCTACCCCATTGTAACCCACATTTTGGTGGTTGTGGAGATTGGAGTTCTATTCCAACTGAACAATGGCCAAAATCCCCAACAAAACCCGCCATTTCAATTGAGCAGCCCACCCAAGATGCCCATTTCTCAGTGAATAGTGGAGGGAGATGCAAAAAACATTATCAACTATACTATTAGGGACTGTCAGAGATGCAAAGACACCTAAGTACCAAGCAGGGTAAAATCAAAGGGGCTGTGATAGTCTGAGTTGAAATGTTTGGTCATTGGTTACTTTATAATCGTGACTGCAGACTTATGATTCCTGAAGCATGCATGGTGGTCTATGGTTGTTTTGCCCACTTACTGCAGAAAATATCCTACAGTCTGCATTCATGTGTGTGTTGCAGTAGTGTTTATGCAAAATCAGTTATCCATGAAAGAAATCTCATTACGTTCTCTTTAGGGCTATGTAAAACTAAAGTATTCATTCTTCTAATTGGTACCAGTTTCCCTTCTCTTATGGAACTATATTACAATAACATATTAACATGATTATAAATCGTTAAGTAAACAAATGAAAGATTCTGAAGAAGAGACTCAAAGGAATGAGGGAGATCAGAAAATCACTTTGTGATTCACTACAAGACTGACTTACAGGTAGACAACTGCTATTACAGAAGCATAAAAAGGAAAAGTTAGCAAATATGTCAAATCTTTAAAAGCGAGTGAGGTTTTCTTATATGCAAAACAGGTAAGGCTTAAGTACAACATATGTTGCAGTTATGGCATGATAGGTTTCAATAAATCATTTGTGGTTAAACTCCACATCAACCCAGTAATCTATGAAAGTCAGATTCCATGATATCACTCTAATCACATTGTTACTTCCTTCCCATCATCATCATTTCACTGCAGAAGGAGGACTGCCTTGTGTGGGGACTAATATGATTAGGAAAACAAAGCATATGTACCACAGACACACAAGGTAGCAATTACATACACATTTATCTTCAGATCCACTGGCAATGAATTGTCCACAAGGAGAAACAGCAATCCCACAAGGATGGCAGCGACTGCTATGACCTTCAAAGCGTCGTTCACACCTTTGTAAAAATACAGTTTAAATAAGAGCAATAATCTTTTTAAAAATTGCTATGAAATTTTATTATTCATTTTGAAGAGATGTCTCTACATTTACTTTTTAAAAATCTAAATGCAAAAGAAATAATTCACTATAGCATTCATATTCTTGGATGAATTCAGATAATGAAGACAAAAAGCCAAATATACATTACGTCTCTCAAAGTTACAATGACTGGATTTCAAAGCTAACAGTGATTCTTTGTTGCAAACTGCAAGTGACTTTACTGAGGATATTGAATTTCTTCTGTATTTCCTGTCTACTTTAACAGGGCAGGACACAGATGCTCTGGGTAGGAAAGGATGAAATCATTTGAGTAATATGTTGAAGCTAGGAACACACTCACTGCAACCTCTATGACAAAAACCATTTGTGTTAACCTAGATATTTTTTCCAGATATAATTGTATTTTTAAATACAATTTTTTTACTGGTGGTCACAATTATAATGATAAATGTATGCTGCATTAGATTCACCTGCCTGATACATCATTCCCCAGATCAATTGCATGAAAAATCAGGAAGAATATGGCTAAGGCATCTAAAGATATAAAATCAGCACTACTCTCATTCTTCTGGGGGCGGGGGAGGACTTTCTGACATCTGAGGAAAAAAGGGAAGAACCGCAGGAAAAATAAGGGATGAAAATTATTGGATGTATACACCTTTTTCCGAAAAAACAAAACTCAAAAATATACATTGTGATGATATCTTATATGGCTGGTGAAAACTAGCTTTTAAAGCCCATTGGATTCTTCTCTGGATTGTGACTTAACCCTTCAAGGTTTTCTATCTCCAACAAAGGGAAAACACTTTCACTGGACTCCAATTTGCAAGGTAACCTAAACAGCAACTAAAAGTTTTGGCAGATTTAACAGTAAAGAAACTTCTTGAGAAATTCAGTGTTTCCTGCCCAAGATGATGATGATGATGATTATTATTATTATGATTATTATTTGTGATTCAAAATTCAGTTTGCTGTATCAAACTGTGTTTTTGTGTCATTTATTATTATTATTCCCATTTTTTCTCTCCACGAAGGAGACAAAGTCGCTTAGTAGCAGGACTTCGGACACCTCAATCTCAAGAAAAGTTACTTTTATGTTAGTTTAATAGAATGGAAATGTTATTACCTGTCTTTTATTGCCCTCTGTCCCTTACATGGCCTCTGACTGCACTGAAATCCCTCAGCACCATCTTAACTTGTAACCCACTCTGAGTCCCCTTTGGGGTGAGAAGGGTGGCATATAAATGTCATAAATAAATAAATAAATAAATAAATAAATAAATAAAGGCCTGTGAAGCTAATATCATCTCCATTTTTTTCCTTTATGACTTTTTAACATTTTTGCCTGATGAAGAAGACAATGAAGCTCATATTATGCATTTTATATTCTGGAACAGACGTAATAAAGATATTAATTGAGTGTGCATTTTGGACTTTGCGGTATCTTTTAAGGAAAAGATATGTTATATGAAGAAAATGCAAAGGCAGATCATGTTCTGCATCTAACTGAAGATGCTTGTTTCAGATGGTGTTTAAGAAATTCTTGAAGGAAGGCTGAGACACAGAGAAGACACATCTCTTCCTAGCAATAAGGGTACTGTAAACAAAGACAGTAAAAGAAATGGAATAGCATCTCTTTCTTGCTGTGTGAAATGTCTTCAGAGTTACCATTCAATATTTCTTCTTTTAATACAACAATAATGATATTTCAAAATACACATACAATTTGATGACGTTCTTTGTTCCAAAAGAACATAAACCAGTTTCTAAATGTTCAATCAAGCAAAGGGAGCCTGTATTTCTTACATTTCTTTGCATGAATGCATTTTGACCTATTAAACTATAGATTTCCATGTCTATTTTCCATTTCCAGCTAAAACAGGAGTATTTTCCCTTTATTCTAACTTGCTTTCTTTTGTTGAATGCTCTTCCAGTATATTTTCCAATCCCATATTCAGTTTCTTATTCAATGGGACTAGTGTTAAATTCTTTTGAAACACTGCCAACAACAAAATTAATTAAACATATATGTGTGTATATGTATTTCTTTCAACAAGTCTTCAACACAATGCCACATGATATTCTCATCAGGAAAATTAGAAAAGTATGAAATAAAAGATGCAATTATAATATGGATAAACAGTTGATTGGAAAACTGCCCTTCGTAGCAAGCAATTAATGGATTGCATCCAATATGGAAGGGAACAGTAAGTGGTTTTCCATTTGGCATTGCTTCCAATCCAGCACTGTATAAGATATCCAATGAATGATCTGGATCACAAAAAGCAAGGAAATATTCAGTTTCAAAAATGTAGAGAGTATTTCATAACAAAATCCCTTTCCCCTTCAGTTTGGATTCTGATAAAAGTACAACTCTGAGCAAAGTTTAATTCATGGCATAAGCAATTAAGAAGCTTATTATAAGTAAAGGTCCTTATATCCCATGAAACCAGCATGTTAAAACAAAAATCTACAGCTTAAATTGTGCCTGGAATGGATTTGGAATCCAGTACAAATTAATAGTTCTTTTTGATTTTGTTGTGAGACATTTTGAAAAAAACCTTACTTAATATAAAATAAATTCATTGATGATAGGAATTGTTCCTATAAAAACATATAATAAAAATATTATACTGTATCATCAAATAAATCTAGATAGCCTCAGTCACCTCAGAAATGCTGCTCCCCTAAACTGCTTGATTTTCGTAAACACATATGTAAAAGTCTACGGACTGGAATGGGAATTAGAAGAGCCAGGTTCAAGTCCCAATCCAAAACAAAACTCACTGGATTCTAAATTTATCTGATCAACCTCACAAGGCTGCTGCGACAGCAAAGTTGGAAGGAGGAAAGACATGTACACTGCCTCAAGGTGATAAAAATACAAATTCATTTAAAAATGCTTTTATCTCTGTTTGTGTGTTTCTACCAAGGTCACTTTTCCCTTCTTCCAAAAGTCAGTTAATCATTTGTCTCCTTTTGTCTAGGAATAGAGCATCCACAAGGCTATACCTCTCGATGCCTTATAGCCGCACATAAGAACCAGCTCTTAGGGGCTTTTCTACTGAATTTAGGAAATTATTTTTCTTTTGGGGAAGTCTTATCTCCTTTCCTATCCTAAGATGGATTTCCTGAAGCAATAAATTTAAGTTTTTCTTTCTTTTTAACCTTACAAGAGCATCCTGAGTATTTTTCTCTTGTTTTCTACCACAAGCTCATATTGCACCGGCTACACTGCACTCTGCTTGATATAGATGCCAAATATTCCTGCAGGATTGACAGTATAGCACATCATATTACATAGCCTTTAGTTACAGTTAAACTGCTTACCCAGATTTTACTTTTAACTATTCTACCATTCACCTACTCTGCTTAAAATTGATGTTTTAATAGAAGACAGAAGTTAAGTAGTGATCTGTGAAATGTGTTCAACTTTTTCATTATTTGTGGTTTGTAGTTAAACAAGTTGATGAAAAAAACATAAGGAGACAACAGAGTCCAAATCCCAAAGTCTCTAATTTTATTATGTTTTGACATTTGGTACAGGTAATAAACCTTTATAGTTTGGCAAGGTCTAACCAACTCTCCCCTCCCCAAAAGATAATATGAAATTATAGAGCAATAAGAAAGAAAAAACCAACTGGTATTAAAGCTAGCTACCACATTCTTTCAAAGCATTTTTCTCACAACAGTTCACTTGAATATTTTTTCCACTTGAATGATTTACAGCAATCTCCCTAAATATGCTCCTTCTTGAACTGCTGCCCCAGTTTGTAATCATTCAGTTCTTTATATATAGTCAAGCTGAAAGGATTTTAAGGCTAAAAGGGTACCTTTTATTACCTATTTAAAGAAGAAGAAGAAAGAAAATTCAATTGATTTTACATTAATTTCACATCCACGTGTCTTTTATTTTTAAAAGACACATTCTGAGTTCTGGCCATCTCATGTATTACAAAAGAGAGTTCACTTAAGTCATGGATCCTTGTGAAAATATATGTTTGATGAATGGCAACTCTGGTAGGATTAAAGGACAATTCCACCCCACCCCCCACCCCCCTCCAGACCCTCTGTGATCTCCAGAAACTGCCAAAAAATGAAAATAAAATATGGAAGTAGTAAGAAAACCACTTTTTTTCTTTATTTTTTAAAAAGGCATTTTTGGTGTTGATCAGTGCAGGAATGTAACCTATTTAAAAGGAGAATTGCCACTTTTGAAGGTTTCTAAGAGAGCCTGCTCACCATCCCATTTGAAGGGGGGGGGGGTCAGAACAAGAGCATTCTGGGTAGTGTGGCATACCTGAGGATAACAAAAGCAGCCCTGAGGCTCATATGTAGCCCAAGAGCTACACACAGTGACACGGGTTAAATCTACACTGCATAATTAATATATCTTAAAGACCAACACATATATAAAGGAATAAGCTTTTGCAAGTTTCATTTGCTACCTTAATGTTCTCAAATCCCAAAGCTTGATACCATCACCAATAGCTGTTGTTAAGAAGAGATTGTAAGCTTCACACTGCTGACTGCTAAAAGCTGAACCCTGAAAGGCAAAACATTAATTTTCAATTAGTGAATATGCAGGAATTTGAACACCTTATTTATAAAAGGACATTAACAATCATATTATACTAATTATTTTCTATGCATGTTATAGGAACATAAGGCATCATGCAATTCAAATTAATTGAAACAGTTCAAAGCACTTTAAGACTGTAAAGAGTAAATACTAGTTTAATAATAATCATCATCATAATCATCATCATCATCATCATCATCCCCCATTTTTAAAAAGGAGATGGAGGGCCTGATTTTTGCAGCCCAAAGACAAGCCATTAGAACAAATGCCATCAAAGCCAGAATTGAAAAGTCAATGACAGATCCCAAATGTAGACTCTGCATCTACACAGCACAATCTGGCTTAAATGAGAAGAGGTGGATCTTATTATCATCAGTATACTTCACTTCACTTTATTTCTTAATTAGTTGCTCTCCACCAAGGTACTCCAAGCGACTTACAATCTGAAATAGCATTTACACACTATAAAAACATTCAACATAAAAACATTCAACAGTGACTATTTGGCAAATTAGATCCGATTACTTAAATGCACAACCAAACAGCCAAGTCTTGAGTGCTTTTACAATAGGTCACAACTCCGACATTGCTCTAACATATGGAGGCAATGAGTTCCACAGAATTGGAGCACAGCTCTACGCCTTGTAGCTTCCAGGTGTACCTCCCTAGGGCCCGGTATGTATAGGAGATTTTCCTGGGTGGATCGAGGTAACCACTGATGGAAAAAGGGAATGAGGCGGTCCCTAAGATATAAAGGTCCTTGGCTATTTTGAGCTCTAAATGTCAGCATCAGTATCTTGTAAGAGGTCCGATGTTCTATTGGTAGCCAATGCAGTTGTTGCAGAATCAGTGTAATATGGGATCTTATAGATGATCCCGCTAGCAGCCTGGCCACCGAATTTGGACCATCCGAATGTTTTGGGTTGTTGACTTCGGAAGGCCAGCATATAAGGCATTGCAATAGTCCAACCTAGTGGTGACTGTTGCGTGGATTACCATTGCCAATGCTTCTACTGAAAGGTAGGATGCCAATTTCCTTGCCTGGCGAAGATTAAAAAAGGCCTGCTTACTTATGGCAGTGATCTGGACCTCCATCATCAGCAATGAGTCCAACACAACCCCAAGGCTTTTAACAGTTGCAGACTGATGGCATTTATCTCAAAGTCTGATTGAAGTCACCCATGTTCAACCCACTTAGTTTCAAGCCTGCCAGAGTGGTCAGTAAGCAAGGAAATTGAGCATAGTAAGAAAGGGTAGGAAGGTGGGTTGTGTGACTTCACAGATGACCCTCAAAGAACCATACTTAGAGGTAAGCACACTATATTTCTTCTTTGTGGTCTCTGTGACTCACATATAGCATACTAGCTGTCCCCTGCCACACATTGCTGTGGCCCAGTTGTCCTTCTTTAGGGGTCCCTTTCAAATTATGATACTATATCTGTCATATATATATAAACGGTTACATCCCGTTTAGACTACTGCAACGCTCTCTACGTGGGGTTGCCTTTGAAGATGGCTCGGAAGCTCCAGCTAGTCCAACGCTCGGCAGCCATCATACTAACAGGAGCGGAGCGCAGGGAGCATACAACTCCTCTGCTGCACTAGCTCCACTGGCTGCCGATTTGCTACCAGGCTCAATTCAAAGTGCTGGCGTTGGCCTATAAAGCCCTAAACAGTTCTGGCCCAAGCTACCTATCCGAACGTATCTCTGCCTATCAGCCCGCCAGGACCCTAAGATCTTCTGGGGAGGCCCTGCTCTCTATCCCGCCTGCTTCACAGGTGCGGCTGGCTGGGACGAGAGACAGGGCCTTTTCTGTGGTGGCCCTCGGCTGTGGAACGCCCTTCCCATGGAGGTTAGATCAGCCCCCTCGCTAATGGTGTTTCAAAGAAGATTAAAAACTTGGATGTTTGAACGGGCATTCGGATAACAGTGCAATGAATGTGATGATTACAGGAATGGAAATATGGACGACGAATTGGATCACGACTCTAGTTATGAGATGTATTGTGTTGTTATTGTGGTGTTAATATTTGTATACTATGTTTTTATGGTTTTAAATTGTATATCGTTGATTGACTGTTTACCCTTGTTGTAAACCGCGTTGAGTCGCCGGCTGAGCTGAGAAACTGCGGTATACAAGTAAAGTATAGTAAATAAATAAATAAATAAATAAATATGGGTGTGAAGCATATATATCTCACTATATCTATGGCTGGATGGCTCTTTGTCAAGAGGGCTTTGATTATGTTTTCTTTCCCTGGTGAAGGGAGTTGGACTGGATAGCCTTAAGGCAGCATTTCTCAACCTGGGTGTCGGGTTCCCTGTTTGGGGGGGGGGGTTGCAAGGGGGTGTCAGAAAGGTTGCCAAAGATAACCAGAAAACACAGCATTTTCTGTTGGTCATGGGGGTTCTGTGTGGGAAGTTGAGGCCAATTCTATCATTGGTGGGGTTCAGTAAGCTCCTTGATTGTAGATGAACTATAAATCCCAGTAACTACAAATCCCAAATGTCAAGGTCTATTTCCCTTAAACTCTGTGTTCATATTTGAGCATATGGAGTATTAGTGCCAAGTTTGGTCTAGATTCATCATTGCTTGAGTCCACAGTACTCTCTGAATGTAGGTGAACTACAACTCCCATAGTCAAGGTCAATGTCCACCAAACTCTTCCAGTATTTTTTATTGGTCACAGGAGTCCTGTGTGCCAAATTTGGTTCAATTCCATCATTGGTGGAGTTCAGGAGGCTCTTTGATTGTAGGTGAACTATACATCCCAGAAACTACAACTCCTAAATGACAAAATCAATTTTTGGAGTGATGTTCACTCCTTGGATTAGTAGGTGTCTTCTGGCCAAATTTGGTGGCAATTTGTCTGGAAGATTTTGAATTATGATGTCACTCAAAATGAACAGAGCATATAGATAGATAGATGATAGATAGATAGATAGATAGATAGATAGATAGATAGATAGATAGGCAAGTTCGACACACCTAGAAGGAGGGTCACTATACTTGTGATAACCGAAGCACGAACAAGCCAAAAGTAGTAATTTCTGATAAGAACATCAATTCTGAAGTAGTTAAGAATTTGACCCTAGAAGCTACTGCTAGACAGAGGATATGGATGGATATATTAGCCAAAACTGCAGAAGCAGAAACAGTTTTTGTGGAATGGAAACAGAGCGAGGAAGTCTCTGGTTTCCTAGCAGTTTTGTAGGCTCACGAGATGGTAGCTGCCAACTCTTCAGAAATGATGTGCAAATAAGCTTGGAAAACCTTGCTTGACAACATAGTGGACAGAGAGTCTAGGGAATTTTCTGAAAAGTTTTGTTCAGTCAACAGAGAAGGCAAGAACATATCTAATATCTAGTGTTTGCCAAGCCCATTCACTGCTGGTTGACAGGTTTGGGAAGAAACTCAGAAGTGAGAATTCCTGAGACAAATGAAAGGATGAAGCCACCCTGAAGGAAAATGACATTTGGAAGCAGAACCACCTTCTCTGTGTTATTTGAGGAACAACAGCTCTACTCACAAAGCAGTTAGTTCACTGGCTATCTTTGTAGAAGCGATAATCATATGAAATTCAATATTAGAATCATAGAGTTGGAAGAGATCTTGTCGGCCATCCAGTCCAACCCCTGCCAAGAAGCAGGAAAATTGCATTCAAAGCACCCCCAACAGATAGCCATCCAGTCTCTGTTTAAAAGAAGGAGCCTCCACCACACTCCGGGGCAGAGAGTTCCACTGCTGAACAGCTTTCACAGTCAGGAAGTTCTTCCTAATGTTCAGATGGAATTTCCTTTCTTGTAGTTTGTAGCCATTGTTCCGTGTTCCAGTCTCCAGGGCAGCAGAAAACAAGCTTGCTCCCTCCTCCCTATGACTTTCCCTCACATATTTATACATGGCTATCATGTCTCTTCTCAGCCTTCTCTTCTTCAGGCTAAACATGCCCAACTCTTTAAGCCGCTCCTCATAGAGCTTGTTCTCCAGACCCTTGATCATTTTAGTTGACCTCCTCTGGACACATCTTCCATATGAGGAAGAATAAATTACATAAGGCCAGGAGTTTGAAAGGACATCTCATCAACTGGTAGAGAACCAAGTGTGGATTACAAGATAGAGAGTTAAGATTTTGAGAAGATGAGATATTCACAAAACCTTTCAAGGAAAATTAAACCAAGGGGTGAACAAATTAAGAAAAAATGTATTGGGATGAAATGAACATGGTATTGAAGAAACTGAGATACTAAATACAACACGAACCAAAGAACATGGTTAATAGAAACTAGGTACCAGTCCATGTGAATGCCATGGAGAAACGAGATTATGTCTTCTGTCAGTATAAAGTTAACAACACCGGGGTGATAAATCCTTCATGTTCTGAGATGAAGGGTTAGAAGATCTGGGTGTAGAATTCCACCTTTGGATTGGGTGGATTGTTTATGGGGCTTTTGTTACAGATGAACCTCTGAATTCAGTAGATTTTAATCACATGGCACTGTGCAAGTAGTATCTTTTTCTGCTAGGTGGAGGGCATGCTCAGTAATCCTCACAGTAGAAACACACTGGTGGAGCTGAGGGAGGATGAGGATGACAAGATTGCTCATGAAGACACTAAAGCTCTTACAGTGTGCGAGGACATACCTGATGATCTGGAGACCTAGATTAGTGTGAAGCTATGGAAAGTTGGTTTGGAGTGGTGGCTTGGCCTCTCACAAAAGTACAGATGGAAAATAGACTCTGAATCATTTGAAAGCTTCTTCCTCTTCTTATAAACCAGATATAGCCTGCTTATATTAAAATGCCTCCAAAATGGCTGGTCAAATGTGAGGTTGACAACATTGAAATTCTTTGATGAGAGGAGGAAATACTATTGGTACCAAAGTACAGAAGGCAAGGCCTGTAGAGGCTATAAAAGTAGCCTGTTTTTGGTGGCAAGGTCAGCAGTTTAGGTAGCCAACTCCG